TATCTATCTATGTATGTATGTATCTATCTATCTATCTATCTATCTATCTATCTATCTATCTATCTATCCATCCTAGCCAAAAAGTCTGAAACATTAACTAAAACACAGATTATCTATCTTCTGTCCCACTATCTGTCTGTCTATCTCCATCAATCCATTGGTCTGGGTAATATTATTCATCCATCTATTGATCTATCTACCATCTCTCTGTTCATCTAGCTACTTATCATCTATCAAATCATTGGACTAGTCTGTCTGTCTTATCCAAACTAATGAAAGAATGTAAAGGCTAAAACATCAACGAAAACACAAGTCATTTGCCTAAGGGCCTTTCTCAATCTGTCTACCTATCTAACCAACTATTGATTAATCAGTCAATCAGGTCTGTCTGTCTATCTATCTAATCTATCTACCTATCTATCTATGTATATATCTATCTATGTGTCTGTCTGTCTATCTATCTTATCCAAAATGATCAAAAGTCAAAGATTGATTGATTGTCAAAGGATGATCTTCTTGCATATACAAGTGATTCTTCTTAATGTACATAGGTCGCAACAGTTTGGAGCAGTCTTTTTCAACCAGGGTTCTTGTGAACCCTAAGATTCCTCCTGAGGTTGCAAGGGATTCCTTAAGAAATAATCAATTTCTGCTTCTCCCTCCCTCCCAGTAAGCGTCACACTAATGGACTGCGAGCTGTAGTTATAGTGATTATTAGGAGGGGTTCCCTGAGCCTCAAAAGGTTATTTCAAGGGTTCCTCTTATTTTTAGATATTTAAAATGTAAGTGGTTATTTATACACAGCTAGGGGCATAAAAAAATGCACACACAAACTAATAACCTTGAGAAAGACTGAGGTGAAGAGGTATGTAACCTGAATAAATAATGAAATAATATAACCTCATCTAAACTTTTAATTACTTTTTAATTACTAATGAATTTTACGGCATGGTTACACATCCCGTGCTAGACAAAATTATACATAAATTTATATCATTTAAATATATTTTCATATGCGGATTGCAGACTGTAAGTAATTTGCTGTATCTTGAGTCATGACAAACATATACTACGAAACAAGAGTAAGGAAAATTGCGTGGCTTAGCATATTCAGAGTAAAGTGTGTCCTAGAACCGTTTAGTACAGTGATAGATGCAGATTTAGAACTGCTAGTTGCTAGAGGATACAGAACGGCACACAAGTACATTTTAAAGTTAGGGTTGACTTAATTCCACAAGAATGAGTACCATATTTGTGTTTTACACAGTTCATCACTTTTCATCAATTTGTACAGCAGTAGTGGAGTCTACCATGTTAGCAATCAAATATTGCCAACAGTTTAACCTAAATTATTATAGCTAGAAGGTTCCAGGACATGTTCATTCCTTCTTCTCGTATTCTACTGTTAATAACTGAAAAAGCAACCTAACCAGTCATGAAAGCTTGCAACTAAGTAGGTTTAGGTGAGACAATGTTAAACTCAAAACCATCAATACCAATCCTCAGCATTTTTCTTCTCACATTTAACAGTTCTCTTCACATTGGCTGGAACTTGTTTTTGTGTCCCTTTAGGAGTATAGCTCTCCTGGAAAGATTTTCTTAAAGTTGAGCTCTTGCTGTAAATAAGAGGCTATTACTTACCGTTCTCAACTTTTTTGCTAGCAAGCCTATACACCTACAATCAATCTATCAAAGCAGGTTCGGAGATAATTATTTGTAGTTCCTTTAAAATACTGTATATCTAAGCATATATTCTCTACATTTCATCGGTCATTTTCAGGAACCCAGCATTCCATACACTGTGTATTGTATGAAGCTCAGCAAGAAGGTTCTGCTGTTTGGAATCTTACGAAAAATTGTATAGAGGACCTTGTAATGGTGTGAATGTTTATAGGCCACTGTCTACAAAAAAAAAACAAGTGCCTATATTAACATAATAAATTTTATAGATGGGAAGAAGTTTAATAGGTGGTTATATAGATAGAATATAAACTGTTCACCAAGTTTAACCATTAATGAAATTAAACAGCTTAGAGCCTCAGAATGCCTAACCGCTAGTTGATCCAGGTATAAAACCTTTTGATGGGTTTACAATAACTTATAGTACTTATACAACTGTACTTATGTTGATATGAATTGAATGTTAATATTCAGCTTAATGCACCCAAAATGCAGCATTCAGGACTTCATGAACAGCAAAGTGTGTTAAAACCCATGATTTAGTTTGCTTTAATAAGGGAAAAATACTTTCTGACTACCAAACTCAATAGGATACGGCCTCGCGTCACCATTCTGCTGTATAAGCTTTTAGATTTTTATGCTTTTAAATGTTTTTTACATTTTCTATGCTTCTATGCTTATTTTATGCTTGTAGGAACAAATCCAATTCTATATCTCAATTTTGCTAAAATCAGCCCCTGTTGAACTCTTTTCTACATTTTCACATCTGTTAAAATAAAGACTTTGTTCATATAGAGGTTACATTTCTTTTGGATGAAAGGAGTGCTCTTATAAATTTTAGAGTGCCCTAAAAGTGAACAACTTTCCTTGAATTTTGTATCTGGCTCATCTATTTTATATATACAGTATATTTCTTTAAATCACATCTTCTTATTTATGAATTCATTTCATTTCATCTTTCCTCAAAGAATAGGTCCTCTGTGCCACTTACTGTTTTACTATTCCTTCCCTGTACTTAGGACATCATTTCTGTGGTATCCAAATTAAATATCACCTATCACATCAAGATGGTGCAGTCCATGTATTGAAGGTCCCACATTAATAGATAAAAGAGATAGCCCAAAATCTTTACCATAGACTTCAGCATCCTCCCTGATGTTGAAATCTGCTCTGAAGAGGAAAAGTCGATCTGCAAGCTCTAGAAACATCTTCCAAAGCTGCTCTTTCCTTTCTTTCTCCATTTACTGAAATTGGAATGTTAGTTTGAACAGGAACACCTCAGAACCAACAGCAGACAGGAGCACCTAAATGATATCGGACCACTGCCTGCTGCATGTAGGAGAACCCTAAGACACCAATGAGGCCTTGTTTTAAAGGTCTTTTACTGATTGTTAGGAATGTGTAAATACTTTATTGCACATAGTCTGGGAAATGGTGCACTTTAGAACTAGTAGTGTTAACACACCACTAAATACAAAGTCAGCTAAAAAAAATGTGTGTTATATGCCTTTGTGAAATTAGGTTTTGAAAGTATGAACAATATAAGATTTGGTATTAAAAATGAAATAAAATTGTGGCCAAATGAGAGAGACAGTTTTACGAATTATGCTGATTGATGCTTAGAACACGCTATCATAAACGTGTACTTCTGTATCCCAATATCAGCCCAAACAAAGTGAGCGCTTGGGGAAAATAGAAGCTGACATAGAAAAAGGTGACAAACCAAATTAATATAAATAAAATAAGTGCAGCGCTAAAGCAAATGCCATGAATAAAATATGTGAAAATATAAAGTAATGCTAATGGCTAAAACACCACTAGAAATAATGTCCAAATTCAAAAGTCTGAATTAATAATGCATCATCTGTGTAGATTGCTGAAAAGTGTGGTCTCCTTTAAGTGAATCCACCAGCACTATGCACTCACCAGAAATAGCAAGATACTGCGCCTCATACAAAAAGAACTGCAGCTCCAAGGGATCGCTCAACAACTCCAATGATTCACCAGCCGGCAATACACGTTGCTGAAATTAGCTCACCACTCAGAGCCAGAAATGCCTGTTCTGAGGAAATGGGCTCTTTTCTCGGTCTGAAGGGTCAGGTAGACACAGCTGTTCACATCTCCTTATTTATTCCATATATCAGCACCAAAAAATGTGAACTCTGTGTTGCTGGAGAAAAAAAATGAAGCAAAACTATTATATAAAAAGCCTCTGATTGGAGCAGGAACTGCAGGACTGCTTCCTGCAGACTCCAGTCCAGGGGCGGATTGACAACTCATGGGGCCCCCGGGCAATAGGGGATCATGGGGCCCCTGTGTCCTTGCCCAAACTCAAAAAAAGCCTATGAAAAAGGTACCAGGGGCATCTCATGGGGCCCCCTACTGACCCTGGGCCCTCGGGCAGTGCCCGAGTTTCCAAATGGTCAGTCCGCCCCTGCTCCAGTCAGATGCTCTTTATATGATAGTTTTTGCTTTTTCTTCTTTTGGTTCAGGCAGTATTGCATTTTTGTCTTAAAATTATATATGTCATTCTTTGAGGAAAATAATCACTTTTTCTTCATACCTGACTTTCAGAATATATATTAAGTAAGGGTGTATTGTCCATTTTAGCTACATTATTTGAATCATTATATGTTTATTTTTTATTTTTTCCAGACCCTAAACTTTTTTACTAGAGCATTCATTTCAACATACACGTGTGCATTTAACATATTTAAGACCTGTTATTTATTTGGAAAAGTCTCCCTTATATCCCTTATGTCACAAGCCTTGAGATTGCTGCTGGGTGCCACCATCTTGGGTGTGATGTCAGCAACCCTAAAAGAATCAGGCCTGTCATTCAAGTGACACTCTATAGTATTCTCCTTCGCTCCTCTCTCAGCAGCTACATAAAAGGTTATGTAGGAGGTCATGGGAGGGGCAGAGGTGCTAGGCCAGCACAGGCAGTAATTGGACTCTCCCAGATGAGAAGAAGATTATGGCATGGCAGGAGGCAAAGGGAACTAGAGAATTGACTCTTCTTGAAAAAGTCAAATTTGCAAGCAAGTTGAAAAACAAAATTAAAATAATGTTTCTGTAAACAAGAACTGCAATTAAGCATTATAATATATATATATATATATATAGAGAGAGAGAGAGAGAGGAGAGAGAGAGAGAGTCATTTTTTAAGTTGGACACAGGATCTCTTTAAGATGGAAAATTGAAACTCAGGTTTTAAAAATGACCATAAGAAAGTCATTCAACATTTAGTATTGGATTGTGTGCCTCATCTATAGGTCTCTCATATTTTGTTTAAATATCTCTTCTAGGTTCACAGCACCTGAAGCTCCAAGGTCCTCAGATACAGAGGGGCTCTACCCCAAAAGTGAGGCTGCAATGCTCTGGTGAAACTGGAGAAACCATGGAGCAGGGAGTATATTGGTTCCGCCAGAGGAAAAACGGAAAGAATCCAGAAGCAATTGTTTATCTCAGTTTGGTGAACAAATCAATTTTCCAATTAGAATCAACAGATCAAGTTCGTTTCAAAGCAGAAAAATCAGGAAGCTCATTCAGTCTGACCATTGACACATTTCAGGAAAAGGACCAGGGAACTTATTATTGTATGTTTATTAAAAATTTTGTGCTAACCTTCAGTCCAGGACATCAACTATTCTATCCTGAAGGTATGATAATGTACTGCAGAAGATATATCTTTAAAGTATATCTGTACAGCATATTTTGGAGTTTTTTTTATGTAAATCTGTCATTACAGCAATGTAGTGGCTGCCATTGCTGACTTTCTGAAATAGCTGTCTGCATGGCTGGTATAATGATCCCTGGCTTTATTGCTTTCTTTTTCACTGACCTGGAAAAGTATAAAACTCAGGAAAATCAGAGAAAGCTAGAAGCCCTTTCATGCATGCTGGTTTCAGGTCTATAGCTTAAAGCATTGATGCAAAATGGACAGCATGTATAACGTATGGTAAGGTTTTAACTACATTTTCAAGGAATCGTGCATTACTACATATGAAGGTGTAATACTTACATTTTTCCATAGGATTGCTTCCATGCTGGCTCAATTCTGAATTATTCCCACTGGCTATCAGTGTAAGGGGGCAACTTTTCTTTCAGTGACAACCAATGTGAGGGAATCCTGGATGTTCCTTGTAAACTTTGAGGTCAACAAGATGAAGTATTTCTTTTTTCATTGCAAGTCAGTGGAAGGAAGAGTATCCTTCTAAACTGGTGATCAGTGGGCAAATGTAATGGGGCATTTTTCATCCTGCAGACACCAATGTAGTGGGGCCTTCATCCTTCTAATTACCACCAATCTGGGAGGAAGAATGCCCCCTAAAACGGGTGGGCGGAGGGAGGAAGAACTTTGATTGGTGATCAATGTGAACAACCCGAACACTGGTGTTTATTTTTTTGGTAATTATTAGTATTCATTTTATGATTATTACTGAAAATATTTTGAGGTATGAAAGGATGTGCCTACCGGGTCCTCTTCATTGTTTAGTGGTCCTGCAGAATATGGCTCTCCCCAAAGGAATGAAGGTGGGCATACTGAACATACACAGGATAAAGAAGACCCAGCAGGGTTGCTTTTGAAAGAGAGATTGTGCAGCTCTGTACAAGGCTGCACATTGAAGATCTCTAGAAGGGGGGCAGAGATAAGTTTAGGATCAAGTGGGCCCTACCCCAGAGGTGGGGGGCATGCCGTGAAGGACAAATTGTACCAAATGCACAGTTTCCCTTTAAAAACATCTTCTGCTGTTAAATATGCTACTGTATATATTACCTGACTTACTTTTAGTTACAGTGCATTGAAGGGTTAGGTTTCTTGTTTACTGCATTGACATGTGTTGGGGCCCATTGGAAACAAAAGGCATGTCCCCCCAAAATGCACGAGCAATGCTTGTTTTCAACACATGAAAAAGTGCTTGTTAAAATCGGCATGCATAGGTGTTAAATGGCCCTTAATGTTAGGCTTTTAGTGTTCATTTTATTGAAAAGAAATACAGAACATTATAGGATAATTCATGAGACTGAGTAGAAAGCTTTCCTAAAATGAAGGATCTCTATTTAAATGCTATGGCAGGGGTGTCAAACTGGTGGCCCTCCAGCTGTTGCCAAACTACAAGTCCCATGAGGCATTGCAAGATTGACAGTTACAAGCATGACTCCTAAAGGCAGAGGCATGATGGGACTTGTAGTTTCGCAACAGCTGGAGGGTCCGCCAGTTTGATACCCGTGTCCTATGGCATCAGGGAGATTTGACATGAAAAGAGTTAACAGCCCTAGGCAGTCCATATTATACTAAGGGTCAAGAATGTGTTATATGAATACCATATTTCCTATTTACGAATATTTTTTTCCATTCTTCAAGTAACAACACCTAAACCAACAACAACCAAACCACCTCCAGCCACCACAGCTAAAGAATCAAAGTCAGAAGAGAACTGCAACTGCATCTCTGGAAAAAAAGGTAGCTAGGCACTGTGGGGTGTCTTTTGGTTCCAGGATTAGAACCTGGCAATTTTTTTTTATTGTTTTGTGTGTGTCTTACTGTCCCAGTTAAAGAATGTTGTGAAAAAATATTTAACAAAAATGTAGGTTATATATGCATTTACATTAGCCTATCTGTAATCTATCCATCACAGCCAAATCCCAGCCAATTCTGTCAAAAGTCAGACATTTCCAGCTTCTAACATCAGCTTGTTTAATCAGGACTTGCTACTAAGCTCCGTTCCTCACGCATTCCTATTGAACATTCACTATGATTGGCAGCTTTACTGGCCAAAAGAAGTGGGCTGAAGCCAGAAGGGGACCAAAATTAAAGTGGTTGTAAACCCTTCCGTATACCAAGTGACTGGCCTCAGGTGATACACAAAGTTGAAACAAATATGTTGTACCTGTCCATTTGCAGTATTCTCTTCTCCACATCTATTCAAAGTGCTGAATTTATAAAGCTTGTCTGAGAGTTCAGACAGGAGGGGGCAGAGAGCTTAAATTACACACTGCAGAGCTCAGTGAGGAGAGCTCTGAGAGCTGATTGGAAGAAAGAGACCCCCCCCCACACACACACACACACACACAGCTCACAGGAACAGAGCTGAGGCTGTCAATCTGCTGGAGGCTCCCCCTCATCACCATTTTTCTCTTGGTGTCAGGAAAACTTGTCAGGAGTGATTCATGCTGTTAGCAGCAGATAGAAATGACAGTTAATGCTCTTAATTGAGACAAGTACACAATATAGAGGGATATGCTTTGTTCATATTTCATGTCTGAGGGTCACAACCACTTTAACAGCAGAGGGATTTAGGAGGCTGCTACATGTACTCTAGGTGCCTGTGTTTTATATTTGCAACAGCTTTTTTTTTAATTTTTTCTGATAAACTAATTTTAATGCTACAAAAACAGAGCCATTGTTAGGGCACTATCTCTCCTGGAGCCCCTAGATAGAAGAATAAACATGTTTTTTAGCTTTACATACACTTTGGGGTTGATTTACTAACACTGGAGAGTGCAAAATATGGTGCAGCTGTGCATAGTAGCCAATCAGCTTCTAACATCAGCTTGTTCAATTAAACTCTTGGCGCCGGCTGAACGCAAATGTGCAGCCTCCTGGCATCTGGGCCTAGATGCTGAGCAGGCGCCGCACATTTGCATTCTAAAAAAAAAAAAAACATATGTGCTGAGAGTGCGTGCCCTGCGCGCTCTCAGCACACGTTCGGTACTCACGGAAAGATCCCGATCTCCTCTTTCGATCGGGACCTTTCCCGATCATGTGACCGCCATGACCGCGAATCATGGCGGTCACATAACCTAAAACCCCGCTCTGCTTCCCGCCTTCTGGAACTCTTAAAGGGCTGGGAGGCGCCGGCGCCAAGGGGTTAAACATTGACCAGAAAAAAAATTGGAAGCCAATTGGTTTCAGATTTTGCACTCTCCAGTTTTAGTAACTCAAACCCTTTAGACTTTCCTTTCATGAATTAATGTTTAAGGTAATTGTAGCCATATTAGTACACCTACAAGAACACAGCTGAGTACTTTCCATAATAGTTTTATTATTTGAACTAAGAGTTAAAGACAAGTACTTTGGAGACAGCAAGGGGGTACGCCTGGGAGTTCTGGCACGGAGGCCTTTCATTACCGCCACGCAGTGTGCGTCTTTATTGTCTGGGCTGAAACCCTTCTGTACCCCAACATCTTACAAATGCAGTTTTTCAGCACAAGTTATCAGGCATCTACCCCCCTTCTTCTCAGTCCAAGCTGTCCGATACTCAGAGGTTTAGAAGAATGTCATTAACTTCAATAAATACAATGAATTAATTTTATGGATTCAATTTCTAAATGTATTCACTAATTTTATATTTAGCTAGCCTAAATATCTATATATATATATATATATATATATATTATATATATATATATGGTATATATATAATAGATTGACTAGACAGAAATGCTTACAACTATTCTTTAATAGTCCCAACAGAGACAAAAACTGAATCCTGGAAGATTGACTGTAGTCTGCACATCTGGGCCCCGCTTGCAGGACTTTGCGGATTTCTTCTCATCTGTCTGCTGGTCACTGCCGTAATGCTCTGCTGCCGTAAGAAACTATAACTTTATACCAAATTTGCTCCAGTAGGGAGCACACAGTGTGCAGGCCAATATGAAATGTGGGGTCTAAATGTAACATAGACTGCAATGACTGTTAGTAGCTTTTGTTTCCTTGATTTATGCTAACTGTGGGGATTATATTAAAATTAAATTTCCAAATCTAGGTGGGCTTTGTGGCAGTGAATCCCATAGTAATTATATTCGGTATTTGTTTAGACTGTCATACAGGAGACTGTAGTTGTACTTTAAAGGCCAAGTTTACCTTTGACAGCATGTTTCATGTTACATCCATATTTGATATGTAACACGTAACATGGGTCCATTCCCCAACCCAGCCCACCACCAACTTACCTGAATCACAGGGTACTTCTGCCCCCACAGCAGAGGGACTCAATGAAGCATGGGTTCAGTGACATCACCACACTTGTAGTCAGGGGCAGACTGACAACTCATGTGGCCTCCGGGCAATAGGGGATCATGGGGCCCCTGTGTCCTTGCCCAAACTCAAAACAGCCTATGAAAAAGGTACCAGGGGCATCTCATGGGGCCCCCTACTGACCCTGGGCCTTCAGGCAGTGCCCGAGTTTCCAAATGGTCAGTCCGCCCCTGCTTGTAGTCCATTGATACTCCATTCAGCTCTATAGCTTCAAGCCCACAGCTTGGTATGGACCTGGGGATGGAGGAAAAGTCCACAGGAGACTGTGCATTGCAAATGCAAAAAATCAATAAATGCTCAGTTTTTATTTTTTAAATTTGGGTATATATATATATATATATATATATATATATATATATATATATATATAATTTTTTTTTTAAAGGCAGAATATGCCTTTAAGCCCTCAAACTAGCAGTTTTGTTCGTCTGCACAGATACACAGATCCAATCATACCTGCTCCAAGGCTCCAAAGTTCGTTTAGCTGTACTAAAGAGTGAGACCATTGTCTTGGGCCTAGAGACACAGACCACCACATCATATGCATGGACTCTAATGCCTCGTACACACAATGAGAAAATCAGATGAAAAAGTCCTCTTTCTGAGCGATTGTCAGATAATCTGATCGTTAGTACACAGGTATCGAGAGCCAAACGCGGCAGTTCATGTGAAATTATCTGAAAGGATAAATGCGAACACTTTTCTCGTATGATACCGGAACAAATGGTTTTCCTTTAATTAGAACAGTAGTGTTCCAAAAAAATCAAGGGACCAAGACCATGCATTCTCACCAACAAAAGAGTACAATACAATACAATACAGTACATTACATCACTTCCGAAGTTGTATTCTGTCGTACGAGAATTTTTGTAACTTTAGTGACCTCTTCATTTTTAAACGAGTCTATCAGGCAAAAAAAAAAAAGGCCTATCATTCATCTGATATTCAAATCATGTGTACAAGGCTTAAGTATCAAAACACAGAGGTCAATTTATTGATGCTTTCACACAAAATTCACACAACTGTCACCAGTTATAGAAATGTGTGAATCTTGTGTGCAAGTTATGTTAATCATGTGTGCAAACATTTATAAATAAACCCCATGGATTCTGAGTTTGTTTTAGACTCTCTTAAACTGCCAACACACAGTACAACCTTGTGCAATCTATATACTCACCAGCCACTTTATTAGGTACACCTCGCTAGTACCGGGTTGGACCCCCTTTTGCCTTCAGAACTGCCTTATTTCTCCGTGACATAGATTCAACAAGGTGTTGGAAACATTCCTCAGAAATTTTGGTGCATATTGACATGAGTTACTGTTGCCTTTCCATCATCTTGAACCAGTCTGCCCATTCTCCTCTGATCTCTGACATCAACAAGGCATTTTCATTCACACAACTGCCGCTCACTGGATATTTTCTCTTTTTTTTGGACCATTCTCTGTAAACCCTACAGATAGTTGTTTATGAAAATACCAGTAGATCAGCAGTTTTTGAAATACAAATACTCAGACCAGCCCATCTGGCACAAACAACCATGCCACGTTCAAAGTCACTTAAATCCCCTTACTTCCCCATTCTGATGCTCGGTTTGAACTTCAGCAAGTCGTCTTCACCATGTCTAGATGCCTAAATGCATTGAGTTGCTGCCATGCAATTGGCTGATTAGTAATTTGTGTTACCAAGCAATTGAACAGGTGTACCTATAACAGGTATACCTAATAAAGTGGCCAATGAGTGTACATTTATCAAATTTATTTGTTTAACAGAGGCCACCCAACTACATAGTTGCTGCTAAATCAAAATTAGGTTATACAATCAGATTGCACAACGTGTAATCCGTGTGGTGAACTTCAGATCAAAAGAATGACCATCTGGGGAATTAACAAAGAGTTGTGCCGGCTGTATGCTTGCACTACTCTTCTAAGCTGAGAAAATGGAGCACATCCTGTTTCAAGTAAACAAATTACTTTGTTAATTAGGACTGATCTGCTCTCATTTCTATGCTGTGTCTGTAACAGACACAGCAAAGAACAGTACAGCTGGAGCTGTATACTTCATTCCCTCTGCCCATCCATGTTCCCCTGCTCAGCTGAGTGCAGGAGGGAGGAGGAGGACTATGTGGGCTCTGCTCGTGCAGTGTTATAACTATACAAGCAGAGAAAAAAAACACAAGCTGCAATCTCTTGGATAACTAGCTGCAGAACCCACACCACTTTCTATTTTAATGAAATAGAAACTTGCACAAGTGAAGCAGATAGAACTGAAACAGTTCTATCTGCTCCAGTAAAGTGGTGCACACCGCTTGCTCTAGTTTCCTGCACCATTACAATAGCTCAGGAAGCTTAGTTAATTCCCCGGTATGTGTGCATTTTGGGCTAAACAATCCATTCAAATTGTATTCAATCAGGTAAACCTTCACGCTGCCTGTGCATGGTATCTCTTTTTCCTTTAGGGCTCCTTCACGCTATCGGGGGGAATTGAATAAAAGTGTCTTTACACAAGTTCTCTCTCAACTAGTACCCCATTGGAACCAATCAGCTTCTAACTTTCCTTTTTTTCACATAGCCTAGAAAATGGAAATTGAAAAGCTGATTGGCTGAGCTACAATTGAGACAACGTTAGGACAAAATTTGTCTCAGACACTTTTCATTAATTCTTACCTATGTGTGGAGACTGGCGTTATTCTGCATTTGATCAAAGCCAGTCATCACAAGGAATGGACTGCACCACATGGTACTATGGTGACTGGTTCATGCAGCTGAGAACACTGCCATTGGGCAAGGGCAGAATGGGAACTGACTAATAAAAGTTTTGGTTCCTGTGGCATTGTTGGCTTAGAAAGACTAGAGAGACCACTTTAGTCTTCCTGCAGGACTGTGAACTGTCCGCAACTCTATGGGCAACCTGTAGAAATTGGGCCACAGCAACTTAAACTGTTAATAGTCATTTCCCACTTTTATTAGCCACTTTTTAAGGTTTTCTGTAAAAATATGTTTTTCTATGTATTTTTTTCTAATTATGAGTATTAGCCATTTACTATAATTGTATCATGTTTTAGAATGATTTTTTTTTTAATGAGACACCAGTCGTATAGGTACAGCTTGTAAAGTAGGGAAGGAATAGATTTTTTTTTGCTGTCTGACCTTATTGAAGAGGCTTCCTCATACTTTATGTCCCAATTAAAATAGGTCAGTTGTGATGGTTAATAACTTCAATGTAAGAATGACAGCAAGAAATCCTATGTTCCAATACAATGGCAAAAGGTTAGAACCTTTCTAAGTGTTTTATTGTTGCTTGCACAATCTGTTCAAGGCAGGGGGGGACTGACAACTCATGGGCCCCCGGGCAATAGGGGATCATGGGGCCCCTGTGTCCTTGCCCAAACTCAAAAAAGCCTAGAAAAAGGTTACCAGGGGCATCTCATGGGGCCCCCTACTGACCCCGGGCCCTAAGGCAGTGCCCGAGTTTCCAAATGGTCAGTCCGCCCCTGGTTCAAGGTGACCCCTATCCCTGATTTTCAGTCACTGGGAAAATGTCCCCAGTGGAGCCACTGACAACAATAAAAACCTGCCAGAAGTTCTGACTCTACCCCATGTTGTTCCACAAAAAAAGTTTCCAATTAAAAAAAAACTTTGACTGGAATAAAAACTGATATCAAACATCAGTTTAAAATGTATATTCAAATAAAACTTACTCCAAACCACAGATCTTTCATAATAATCTTTAACACATGTTTAAAATGAAGGTAATGGCTATAATGGGTGCATTTAATAGAAGCAAAAACAAAAGATCTCAGTTGTATGCCTCATTTGGTTCTTTATGAACTTAATAAGTAACCGCCATTTATTTGTTTGCATTTTTTGGTACACACTCATTAGTGGTCCTCAGATGCTTTGTGTAATTTGGAGCTCTTGTGAGTTATTGTACTATAAAGAGGATTGGTGGAGACTTAAGGCAAGCTTGATTTCAGTTATTCATTGCTATGCATGTCCTTGTGTTGCTGCTCTAATAGATAAGAGTAAGACCACTTGACACTTATAATGTATAATTCCAAATAAATGCAACCAAGGGAGCAGTTTTTATTGAATGTGAACCAGGTCTGAATTTGTTCCCACTTGCTATGTAGCTGGTTCTAGTGCTATGAAATTCTTTTAATGTTGATTTAGATATAATACTACATACAATATCGGCATGTGTATATAATATAAAAATAGTAAATAAAAAAAATATGTAAAAAATATAATGACTTATTATTCTACAGCTTAATATATTTATGTAAAATATAAAAATGTAAAATATGACTTATTATTATACAGCAGAGTATAGGTTTATTTCTGCTAAATACTTATACCTGATACAAACTCCAAGTATTGAGGATAATTATGCAATCTGCCAATAAAATTTGTTTTTTAAGGCTATATAACTGAACGTACAGAAAGAAACAAAACAGAGCGCACGGGATA